TGAAAGAGCTGTCTTCATCATCTTTGCAAATCCTTCGGACATAATTAAGCAAAAAGAGCCATGGCCCTCTTGTCTGATTATTTTTTCTCTATTAAAAGAACAATGACAATTATATCATGCGTGCGAATCAAATGTTCAATCTGAAAACATAAAGATTTATAAAAAAGACAAGAAAAATACATCAAACACAATCTAGAATTATGGACGCTTTATTACTTTACCCAATTTTTTTCAGGAAAAAAAAATATATATATATATATATTAGGAATGGTCAGCAAAAGTTTTTAACTGTTATTTTGCAATCATGACTAGTTATTAATTACTAGTATTATAGTTATGTAAAAAGTAAGTTTTTGATTAGGCCAGCCTAATATTTTCTCATAAATATTAAGTATATATACTTTTTTATCTAAAAAGTATCATGTTTTATGAAATAATATACATGAAAATAAGTATGATACTTGATATAAGTATTCACATTTGTTAAAAAAGTTGACAAGTCATCTCGTCTAATGGTTAGTCTGTTTCACACAAAAATTATGAGTTATATATTATTTCATTTAAATTATTTTTAAAAAAATAGGAAAAATAAGAGGAAAACAAAAATTTGGGTATATGCTATGATGTTTATGGTCTTGGGCAGTGGCATAACACTATTTCAAATTATTTTTTAATGGCGGTTTGTCTGGTCAATCTATTCACTTGTTTTTTTATATTATATACATAATTTTATTAAAATTATATTCTAAAAATTACTATAATTAAAAGTATGAAATTCGATAGTAAAAATATGTATTTTAATTTATAAAATATGACGAGTCGACCTGGCTAACTTTTAAGTCGCTGGATAGGTGATTTTTCAAAACATTTGGTAAAGTAAACGCCTAAAATGATGAAAACCACGTTCATCACAACATTATGATTGAGTTACTCAATTTTTTTCAAAGGCAAACACGTAGCAACATTATTTCAATAAAGCAATCTTGACGCATCTCTTATACAAATACTATTTTAAGTATATATTTCTTATTTTTATTTTACAATTTTATTTCATTATGAGGTTATTATCATAAATAAATAGAGTAACCATTAAATAGATTGATCCTTGAAGTATAACGAAAAAAATATGCATACTTCTATAATTAAATTTCATCTTATGTTTATATTTCATTCATTTACAAATAAGAGTCCTTTCAAGAAAATAACAAGAGAATTAAAAATTCGTGTTTTACATAATATAACTTTATAAAAAAAAATCTTCTTAAATCATCTATTTATATGCTACTTCTTAATAATTATTGTGTTTCTTTCATAATTAAAATATTTCCTCTATATATTCTTCTTTAATTATTTTCTCTTTCCATTTTTTAAGATTGCATGTGATATATAATTGGAGAATGGTTCAAAATAATAGATAAAACTCCATCCAACACTGAAATATTATTTTTCTAGTATGACATTTAGGGAAATTTATCTATAAAAAACAAAANTTTTTTTTTTTTTGTGTTTTTCTGTTCAGTTAACTTAAAATTATTTTTTTTTGGTAAAAAAATCATGACAATTAAGTATAGAAATATATATTTATTAAAAAAAAAATGTGTAACTGCCAAGGCACCTAACAGCACCACTATGTCCATTAGGCACATGGCTTATTTGGAAAAAGAGACTCTAGGTCAACTATGTATTTTAGTCACATGTTCGTTATTTTATTTTTCTTTAAGGAAAAAAAATTAATAGCATAATTTATTACAAATCATTTCAATAAATATAATAATGCAAAAGAAAAACGAACCTCAAACCGCGTTTCTAGAATAATTTCTACTCCCTCCATTTTGAAATATAAGGCATTTAAGGTTATTGCACAAATATTAAGGAGACATTAATTAATGAATAAATTGACTAAATTAACCTTATTTACTCTAATCACAACCACTCCACACTTTCTTAATTTCAATACAATGAGGGTATATTTGGAAAAAATTGTAAAAATTTGTCTTGATTTTTGAGCGCGCCTTATATTTCAAAAAAATTAAGAAATCTTTATACGCCTTATATTTCAAAATGGAGGGAGTAGAATATTTCTTCTTGAGTGTCTATTAGGAGAACGAACAATGGCAATCCGATTTTGAAATGTTGATTAAAATTTTGAGAGTTTCAACTACTTATTAAGAGTTGGGTTTGAACTGTCGCCTTTTACTAAAATTTTAAATAGAATAAAATATAAATTGAGCCCGTTTTAAGCTTAAATACATCAACTATCCACTTATTTATTTATTATTTAGGAGAAAAATGAGTATAAACCTCGCAGTATTATATCATGTCTAAATGAGAGAATAATATTCAATAATCCGTATTTTTTTTTGGTCGAAACGATAGGAAATACTATAACCACTCAAAGAGAACATAGTTCAAATACAAAGCGCGGAAACAACCGAATAAGAACGCAAACTGAGAGGACACGCTAGAAGCGGCCTAGAAACCCACATGCGGGTATAAAAACCAATAACTGCCCTATAAACAAGAATGGGAAACAACCACTGCATAAGCCTAGCTATTACACCATTCTGAGGACTGAAACAGAAACAAAGAGAAAACTAAACAAACACAAGAAACCACAAATGCTACAGAAACGATAAAGAAGCTAGCTAATCCTAGAGAAATCCTGCCATTCAGATAATGCACATCTAACAAGAACTTGGATTGGAACATCTGCTTCTTCAAACAGCCATTTTAATAAGCGTGCTTGCTTGCAACATACAAAGAATTGATAAAAAAGAATCATGCCTGTAAGGTTGTTTTGAAAAATAGAAAGGAAAAAAAAAAGCTATAACAATTAAAATAATTTTAGCATGAATATAAGATAAAACTAGTAATCAACCTGTGCATTTGCACAGAGAAAAATACTTTAAAAAGATAACAATATAAAAAAAAAAAATCATAATTTAATTCATGAAAAAATATAAATTAAGAAAATAATTCACAAAATTGATTTTGATTAAGTAATTGCTATGGAAGAGTTGGTACAACTATTTTCTTTATGCTAATACATCCGGCCATTTTCATGAGTGAGTGTGACTTAAAATTTGGGTACAATTTTGTAACTCTCTTGATTGGTTTATGCTCATAATTTATGGCATTCAAGCAAGTTATTTTGTAACTTAAAAATAAAATTGAATGTTGAAAATTTTGGAGGGATAATAAAATTTAATGCATGATAATATAATTAAATGTCATGTTGCTCCTCTTTATTTATATATAGATTCCCTCTACACATAAATGTAAAGTTTCTTGAACTTATGTATCAACTTTTGATATTTCGTAATTATATTTATCCATTTCTAGTGCTTCGTAATTAATTTTTCACACCTCGAAATGGTCCATATAGTCATATAGATTGACTTCTATTCATGCCTATGAGGACTCTAATATTATAAAATATTTGACTAACTTAAATTATAAATATATTTTAAAAGTTATAACTTTTATATTTATAGAATTTTCATACATAATATATTAAATTAATAATCTCTCAACAAGCTTAGATATAATATCTATATTGCATATAAGTAAATTGGGGTGTGTGTATGCATACATTTTAATTTTCCATTAATATTAGTTAAAAAATAATAAATAACTTATCAATTAAATTATTTATTTATAAAATTCATTTTAGTGGTAAACTTTTTTATTAGGATCATGTAACTCTACTAGAAAAGTGATTATTGTTTACAATTTCAACTAGTGTGTACCCCATGCGATGCACGGGAACAATATTAAATTAACAATATTATAAATAGACCTCGAGTTTGAGTCACTCAATGGCGAAAGTGGAAACTACTATTAATCCTATTTAAAAAGAGGAAGAAAAAAAATAATTATAAATTAAAGAGAAGGATAAACAATACTTAATAATTATAAATTAAAGATTCAGGGTCAAACAATGTAAAATTATTTTGTATAAGAGAATATAAAAAAATTTGATTACACACCATTTCAAAATTATTATTATACTTTTTTTGTATGGTTAGCTTATAATATTTGAAAAAATATTAGTAATTAGACCGATGAAAATTAGCTTCTTAAAGTAGATAATGAATTTCTAATAGTAATTATGAATGGGTTTCTATTTTATTTTATTTTTTCTTTTTAAAGATAATAGATTTCTAGTAGTAATTATAAATTGGTTTCTATTTTATTCTATTTTTTTAAATCTATATAAATAAGGGATGAGATTTTTTAAACACGTGAGACGTATGCAATGAGATTTTGTAACAGAAGCTCGTGTAGATTTATACTAAAAATAGGAAAAAGAAAAACAAATATTTATTGTCAAGCAATGAGATTTTGTAACATAAGAGATAAGCTCGTGTAAATTTATACTAAAAATAGGAAAAAGAAAACAAATATTTATTGTCAAACAACGGTTTTGATAAACTTAAAAACAAGAAAAAGAGAAACAAATTTTTACACAATTAATGAGCCGATTTTTTTGCCTATTCAGATTTGTCCAACAATTACTATATGTCGGATATATTTAATGATTTTGGCAGAAAAATATTTCTAAATTTGTAAAAAGGGAGTATGAAACTTTAGCTAATCAAACAAATCAAAAATTCTCATTATATCCATTGTGTCCCCTAATTGTCAAGATTTTCAATAATTTGGTATGTCAGAGACTTGACATGATCTTCTACAAAATTTGGACCCACATAATTACAGTCCAAAAGCTTGATGATAAATAATAATAATAAATCTTTATACTTGTCGCCTACTTAGCCTTGCTTCAATTTTTCACTTTCCTCGCAAAATCGGATTCACATTTTTCCTTTTGTTCGAACGTTAGAAAAAAAAATAGTAATAATATTAACCCATCACACACATTTTGTCGTTTCCTCATACATTGCTCAATATAAGAGAATCTAGTTAGATATCCTCAACATATATACATGTTAGTTAACACACACACACCAAAAAAAAAAAAAAAAAAAAANAAAAAAAAAAAAAAAAAAAAAACATACAAATTAAATAATTACTAGGATACATGAAAGAATCATTCTGCAAAAAACAAGGCGGCTCGTCGCCATGTGCCGCCTGTAAGCAGCTGAGGCGGAGATGCACACCGGAGTGTGTGTTTGCACCCTATTTTCCGGCAGACGAGCCACAGAAGTTTGCCGGAGTTCATAGGGTTTTTGGGGCTAGCAATGTCACCAAGATGTTACAGGTCTTATTACATTTCTTCTTAATTGTTACCATGTTTTGGTTCTATTGAGATCATATGTGTGTATTGATCATGACTAGGTTTCTATTTGTATATCATTCGGTAAGTCTTATGTTAAGTCATTTTAATTAACAGTTAGACCGACATATTTTTCTCACAAATATGCATACTTTTATTAGAGAATATCATATTTTGAAAAATAACGTGAACATAAGTACGGCATTATGTAGTATAAATATGCATTTTTGTTCACATAGTATGACCAGTCGACTCACCTAACTGTTAGGGTGCCTTACACAAGAATTTATGGTATATCATAATTTCGAAAGTGTAGATTTCTATGCATTTGTTTAGTTGTTTTGATCACCTGATTTTTCTTTATGGATTGTAAAATAATTGGGTTATATATAATTTATTTTTTTTCAAGTGTAAAGGGTCAAGATAACACTTACTCATTCACAACATCTTTTCTATCCTTTTTTTCATTTTTTTCCAAACACATCATGTTTCTTTAGCCCTTTTGATTAGTCAAAAGATATATGCATGGAAGATAAGGACTAAAAAACATGTCTTGTGAGAAAATTAGTGGAAAAAGGTGTTGATTGTATACATATATATAGAATCATGCGATGGACATAAAATTTGACATAATACACACGTGACAGGATTTTTAGTTTTAGTTTTACACATCACATCAGTTTTATTTTAAAATCAACAGTTCCAGCTACTCTTACAATTCATTTATATCAACCATTATGTCAAACCTGTAAAATTCACGTACATAACTACACAAAACCTCGACGATTTCTTTTTTCTTTTATTTTTTAAATAAATTAATACTATTTTCCTCTTTTATCAGGAGTTGCCAGAGTGCCTGAGAGGAGATGCCGTCAGTAGCTTAGTCTACGAAGCTAATGCTCGAATGCGGGACCCAGTCTACGGGTGTGTGGGGGCTATTTCTCACCTGCAACAACAGGTTGATGGGCTCAGCCAGCAGTTGGCTCTGGCCCAAGCCGAGGTGGTCCACCTTAGGGTTCATCAGGCCGTGTTGGGCCAAGCCAATAGCCCAATCGATAACGGGTCTCCGCTATCATACTCCTTGTTAGACCCCAACCCATCTTTCGACTTGGATGTGATGCTTGAGCAGGACTCACTCGAAGAATGTATGTGGTTGTGTAATTAAGTTGTATAAAGTTAAAATTCAATATGATCAGAAACCATTCAATAGGAGCCAAAAGAAATGCCACTCACTGTCTATATTGTAATGAAAGTGGTTTTATGGCTTCTAAATGGTGTAAAATTTAGCAAGTTTAACTATAAAAAATAAAAAAATAAATAAATAGCTGTACTCCTTCAAAGTTACAAAAGTTCGCGTAATATTAGCTTCTATTTTGCTTCACTAATAGGTTATTAGCCGAGAAAAAGCAAATGGAGCAACTCAATTACACGATCTTGTTAGAAACAATTCAGTAACAATTCAGTTTCACTATTGCAAGTAGATCGTCACTAAAATGGTAGATTTTGCTATTATTGTTCACGATATTTTTTCTCTGTTCTCTGCTGGCTCGGTTCTCAACATTCATCGAGCAAATAATTAACAACGAACGAACAATTTATGAGAAACAAAAGTGTCCCTCCATAATATACACTCCCAAAAAAAAACCAGAAAAATCGACAAATAATTTAACATAAACAATACCCGGAACTTTTTTTGTTAGACATTGGGGTCAATAAGCTCCCCATTCAAGTACTCTCTGTAAGCAGCAACTGGCCAGCTGAAGCCTCTCCAGATGAGCTTATTGGCCAGTGGCACATCGATTATGATCTCCTTCATTGTGGGCTTCTTCTCATCTCTAATGGCAATCAAGTAGCTGCGGCCAACCCACCCAATCCAACCGGCAATGTACAAGAACAATATGCCCGGAGTTATGAACTCACCCCAGTGCCTCTGGTCACCGCTCACGATCAGGTGAGGAAGACCGTCTGAACCGCACAATAGTCCCACTTTGCCATAGTTGTCAAACCTAAGTAACAAAAACACAGCAATCAAAGGTTGTATGGATGAATGAGACATTCCACACATACTCTCACCTCATACATATTTATGCATTCAAGAATCACAGTAAGTTACAGATTCGTGACGGGTAATGAAGAACTTGTAGGGAAAAAAAATCTGATGAGACCAAATCAATCATCAACTAAAAATACAAGAGATCATCCACAATGAAAATCTTATACTGATGACACACAATACTCTCATCTCATGGCAATCAGATTTACATTACAAAATGATTGAACTCTAATAACACTTTATGGGAGCTAATCTGAGATCTTTCTGGATATGATTAGAATCATTTTTTTTTTTTTTTTTTCAATAAATCATTTACATCAATCGCAGTCGGACAAATTTCTTAATACAAGCGCAATTAAAAACATTTACACACACACACAAAAAAATCAGGATCCAAAATTAACAACACATGAAAAGGGATAAAGCAGTATTTTTACCTGCGCTTGGTCTTCTCGATGGTGGCCTGGATGGCGAGGGCAGGGGCGCTGTCGGGGGCGTACAGCTTGAGCGACGACTCGAGCTTCTTAATCTCCTGCTTCTCGCGCTTGGCGAACTGCTTCGACTCCTTGCACGGCGTCAGCCCCGAGATGTCGGCTGACGCCGGCAGCACCGGCGCGGATAGAACGATCGAAGACAGGGCGAGCGCCGCAGAGAACGCCTTCAGCTGGGAGGAGGAGGTGGTGACTGCGGCGGAGGGCTCCTCGGAGCTCGCCCGGCACACCACAACTGCAGCGGTGGCGTTACGAGGCTTTCCGGCGGATATGGGGGTTGAGATGGATTTGGAGAAGTTTGTTGGGATCGTGAGCGACATTTTTTTTTCTTTAGTTGAATTTTTGTTATTGAGATGATGACCGAGTGTGGAGAGTTATTTTGAGATTTTGGAGGGAGAAGGGATTTGTGGCTGTAGGAGAAGATAAGGTGAGGTTGAGTGAAGGGGGACGCTGAGCTGGCGGGATGCTATTGGTCGGAGGAGTTTGGTCTTTGGCTCTGTAATTTTAGATTCTGGTGCGAATTAAATTTGGTCTATCCATATCATGTGTGCTGCAGTCTGCAGACTGTTCGTATTGCCTCCATATGTTGGATTTTGGATATATCATTTATTTCAATATGAATAATTTAAATTAAATAAACAAAGTAAATACTTTGTCTTTATCCATTGGATTGTACCGGTAAAAAATCCAAGTCAATAGAGTAAAAAACAGGTAGTGTCGAATTTTATAATTTTCTTAAAATAATAAGTTTCCATAACAAGTATCAGACTATGAAAAAAATATAAATATTTATGCAAGAAGAAGTCAAAAAATGTTTTTATATGATTAATTTTTTTGACCACATCGTTAAAAATTAAAATAGATTACCCATATTATAACGGTAGCTTGCAGTACTATGAACCGATTTATTTTTTTTTATGTTAAATTTCACAACTCCTACAAGGAGCTGATCAAAAAAGTATCATAATTATGCAACAACGAATCACTGTCTCGGTTTTCCTCGCATTTCTTGATACAAACAGAATATTATTATTATTATTATTATTATTATTATTATTATTATTATTATTATTATTATTATTATTANAATAATAATAATGTAGTTCAGCAAGTGCATAGTTTAGATCATTTTACAACAAACGATCAGCAGTATCATTCTTCTCCTCCCTCAAATGAACCATCTAAGCTGCTTGTTCTTCTAATTGTCACAATATATTTCAATATGGTTCTCTCTCTTTCTCCATAACAAATGCCAGGTCAGTATCTAGTCTCCGACTTCGGTGACCAGCTTCAACTAAGTCGACAAGTAAATCTAACGAGCCAATCTCAACCATCCAAATACTGAAGCGAATTGGATTAGATTACGCATATCTGCCGAGTCTCAGGGGCTTGCCATTGATCAAATGTTTCGTTTTTTGTCATTGAGTAACCAGCCAACCGGGTTTAATTATAACCTCTTTTTTGAAATCTCGGCCGCTGGTGGAAGTGGACTCACCTTGACGGCGGTAACACTGCCATGAGAAGGTGACCGAAAGCCCAATCAGTCGGGAGTGTAAGTGTGTGTGTGTGTGTCAAAAATTGAATATAGCTATGTTTAGTAAACCTAACTGATAAGCTAGTTTATAGCATTTTAAATGAATTTTGAGCTTATAACTGATAGCTTATGACTTATGACGTGTTTGGTAAAATTGGCTGATAAGCTAGTTTATAGCATTTTAAATGAATTTTGAGCTTGTAACTGATAGCTTATGACTTATGACGTGTTTGGTAAAATTGGCTGATAAGCTAGCTGAACTAAAATTTTCAATGAATTTATTTGAAAAGCTACCTAAGAAAGAAGCTTATGAGATAAGCTCGAGCTTTTTAAAGAAGTTCGTTCTACCAAACCAAACTTATTTGAATACAGGAAACTTATAAGCTAATCAAATAAGCTATAAGCTAGTTTATATGCTTTACCAAACACAGCATAAGAGGAATAACGAACCTTGTAACAAACAACTGAGTCGTCTGGATACATTGCAAATAGTTTGGTACTGAGACGTGCGTGGCAAGAATCACACGTGCTATCGTCGTTAATCTGCACATTTCGGGACCTCTCTTCAAGTCTCGACAATCTTGCATCAACTTCTAATGCATGTGACAAATTACGCACAATCTGCCAAGAAAATAAAAAGACCCGAAACTTACAAAAGGTAATTCCGATATCAAATTTTTGAGTATACAAATTAGTTTCCTTAAATTAGTTTTCATTTTACCCCCACGCGCAATATGACTCAAAGAAAGAAATAAAAACATAACCTCTCCTTGACGATGGTGATGATACCGGGCTCTTAAAAGCCTTAATATTGTGTCAGATGCCAGTTGGAGGGGCATTTCTGGGGATAATTTCTGCAAAAGGTGATCTCAAATTACCTCATTCTATCATAAAAAGGCAAATCATTAAACAATTAAACCGCATGGCGAATTCTTGAATCTGTTGATTTATTTAGCAAAAAAGTGGAAATTATACCTCCAAGACTCGTAATGGATCGAGCATTTCACCGTGATTGTGGATAAGACGAACAGCAGCTTTAAACATGGGCCCTCTGCCATCCTTAGGGTCCAAATATATCTCAAGTAATCTGATGATCAAGCGTGTGAAATAAATAACGTAGATAAAAGAAAAGCACTTCACCAGAACATTCAATGAAAAACGAGAGACATATTTACTCACTGCATATAAGCATCTGGTCTTCCGATCTCCACACAATATTGTTCCGCAGCTTCATAATCCTCCAATTTCCTAATAAAAATAGATATCATTTATATTTTACATCACATCTAATCATGATAAATACGTTGCAGATGTACACTGAATCTCCCCATATTCTTCAGGCTTCAGCAATTAAGACAATAGTTATAGACATATAGTAATAGCATGGAGAAAACTCACAAGGCCAAAATATTTAGTACTAGTGCCTCTTGTCCAAGCCTCCTATAAAGAATAGCCTGTCAAGCACAACCGGGCTAATCAGCCAAAACTAAGGGAAAAGAGATTTCACCAGCTTCAGTTGCTTTAAAAGCCAGTTCACCAATTTAATAAGATGAAAGAAATCTCAAAGCAACTGTAAATACTGATTTAAACAATTTCTGATTTTACGAGTACAAATAATGTGGAGCATACCTTTTCTAGCCATAGCTCGGATCCTTCAATCGTATCAAGAACTTCTTCAGCATCATATAAATCTGATGACTGCAAGAAAATCTGCAGTCTATCCCTAACAGGGTTATCAAAAATCGAGCTCCTTTCAAGCTGAGAAATTTTCTTCTCATTTTCAGGCAGTCCGACAGATTCTAGTAATGAAAGCTCCGCTTCATAAGTTTCTAGTGCCGACTTGGCGAGCAAAAGGGCATAAGCGGTATGGAACTGTGAGTCATCAGAGTCTTGGTCTTCAATCAACCACTGGAGATATCTGCAGCATAATGGGCAAATAGAGTTCTGTGACTAATACAGACACCTATGAAAGTCACAACTTCAACTAAATTACAACCTTCAGTAAAAGTTAAAACCACTAGGTAAACAACAACCAGGCTGCGTACCTTTGAAGGATTTCCACTTTTTTGGGATCAATTGCAGCAATCACTTCATCTGTCAAAAACTATTGGAAGTTAACATATTATAACATAAAGCCATTTAAACTGCACATGTAAATGCTACTTAAGTGAGGAGTTCTATAGACACTAATTGTCAGTCTTGCCTGGTGATAGTAAATTGGTTCTTTTCTCTGATGTCAAAATTTGTACTGCAAGCACCTGGTTGATATCTGCAATCTATAAAGGAAACAGAAGACAATCAGCAATGAGATATATCAAACATAAAAGTCGACGTATAATGAATGACATTTCTTTGACTAATCAGAAAATTGTAATAATAAGAAAAATTTAATTTGAAAAGTCTTGGCAACGAACCCAGCGAAGGTGCTGGAGTATCAAATCTTGATCACAGGACTCCTCGAGAAGCTTAGTCGCCTCTATTGCAGCAGTCTCCCTACCTAAGGTGAACTTTCTAGATGGATCATGTAAATCAGTTTCATCATGTTGATCTTTATTATAGCCGCTTGTTGAATAATTTCTTGCCAACATACGCCAAGTAGAAAGAGCCTTAGCACTCATCCCCTTACCAGCATACAAGAAAGCAAGAGTGCGTAAATGCCCAGACTCACTGAGTAATGCTTCTAGCTCCTCCTGCACTGCCCATTGAAATCCATGGTCATTGTTGAAGGCGGTTCATTTATCTCACATTACAAGATATTTATGCCATTTATGCCAATACAAACACTTATACAAGATCCAAATTATTCACGCTAAATAAGAAAAGCGAACTGTTTTTACCATTTTCACAGGGTCAACTACTTAAGGAGCGATTGTATACAAATTGTACAGTAAAAAAAACCAATCAAAACTCAAATTTAACTCAACTCCACAATCTCCATTATTATCAATATAATTAAATAATATCAACCAATCATTCTTACACATCACAACTTTAATTCACTATTCATCTACTCACATAATTTTAACTAATTATCACTTCCAATCATTTTCTCCTACTTTTACATCAAATCAACTTTAATTATTTTATTTTAAATATTATTTTAATATATCCACTAACAACTAACAATACCACATTTTTCTAAACTTAACTATAGTTAAAAAATAACCAGATTTTTACTAGTTGAATTCATATCAAATCACCCCCTTAATTGCCAAAGAGAAAAGTCAACTTAGTAAGTCATGCTAACTAACTTTTACGAAATCCAAGTAGTACGAATTAATCCTTAGAGCAATCAATTCCCTTGACCCTTGACCATCAAATAACAATTTCCCTAACGGTAAGGCATACCCAGGAACTCACCCCAAGAACAGAAAATGATAAATTGACAAACGGTCCATTCAGCCAAGTGAAAGGAAAAATGAGAGGAAATCCATACCACTACACAGCTATTCTCAGAAGATGCAAATTTTTCCATGTCTTCAACACAATTAACAGCTCTATACAGGTACATCAGAAGCGTATCAACTCCCTCTCTCACTGACGTGGCAAGGTCTCTTCCATGACAAGCTTCCAGATACCTGTACAAATATATTGACAGTTCGGCAAGGATAACAAGTAAGAACTTGATCAGCTGATGATGCAACACCAATGAACAGTGAACTGAGAATAACTAACGCACACATAAAGTGAAACTTAAACTGTTCTTGCATCTTGAACCACCAAAAAGCAAGAGGAAAGAAAGAAGGAAAGAGGGGAGAAAGATAATTGTTATCACATAATCAACAACATAAATTCAGACCCACCTTATCATGTTTTTAATGGCAGACTCTAACAGATCTGCTTTACTAGGTGGATTACGCAGAAACTCATCATCGACAGCAGTCTCTAATCCTGCCTTCTTAAGAAAAACGGCTTTTTGAATAGCTGACAAGCCATCATCTATAACGCTTTCAAGAGGTTTTGGTGGAGGATGCAAGCCCCAGTATCGGTTCCTCGGAACCTGGAAGTTAACAAACAATTCAATTTTACATATATCAAGTAAAAATAGTGCGGAAAATTTTGAAAAAATAAAAATAAAAAATCATGTGTGTCTGTGAGAATATAATAATGGAGAGGGGACGAGGCAAGAAACAGACTATCAAGTAAAGATATAATGAATCCGATACAAGCGGCACGCACATAAAACACCTGAATGTACAACCAGTTAGCTTTACCATAGGATTTATTCGTCCTCCTTGGTATTCGTATCTATTATGTAAACATGAAGAGCATATGGTACAAAATAATTCCTTACATACCAGCAGTGTCCAGCGATTTGGGTCTCGCATGATGAAAGGAAAAAGTTCGGAAGGCTGCATGTTTTCTGCTACCAAGAAATGATCTACTGCTTCCTTGAAATGCAAGTCGAAAAGCAAGGCGTATCCAACCTGCGCGTGGATGAAAGATAGTGTCTCCTTTGTCATTTCGCCTTCATTCTGAAGCTCTTCCAACAAAGATACAGCTTCCTTGAAGCTCTTTTTTCGAAGAAGATCCTTGATTTGTGCTTCTCCAGAAATTTTTCCGTAACAAACAAGCTTCATGATGAAACAATTCAAGATATCATGAAGAAAAAATAAGAATTTCAAAAAGACAAGAAAATGGAGACTGGTCGATTTGTTTAGACTACACATTACCAATTAAAATCAACTAAAGGACTCGTGCATTAGTCCTGTTGAAAGTGGTTCACACTAGCTAGTTGCTACAAACAAAAGTTTCCCTTTTCAAGCATCATGCAGAACTACCATAAAGTTTGTCCTGAATTTCATTCGGAAGTAAGATCAAATTTAAATACATGATCTAAACTTGTTATCAGTTCTCTTTCCTTCCTGAGTACCGAAAAATGGCAAGTATAGTTCCCAAGAAACAATCACAAAAGCAAATTAGCACACAAGTTGAAATTTCAGGAAATTCAGTCAAATCAAAATAAACAAATACATTGTTTTTCATCTTCCAATTAATAAGTACCTTTAAGCTAGTTGCAACAACAACAAGCTTCCCACTCTCATTATCCTCATCCGCCAGAACACATGATCCCCCGCCACCATCCCCCACCATAAACCTCTGTGAACAGAAGCCTGTTCTCGTGTGATACAATTCCACCACTGAGTTCCGAATGGCAACTACATAAGTTCCTATTTCCCCAAATGAATCCGGAGCCTCCCCGAACACCAAACTCCCTCCAACCGGCTGCCCCTCCATGTCCACAATAATACCCACATTATCGACCATTAACAGAACCCTCGACTCTCGGACTAACAACTTCATTCGAGGCACGACTGAAGAATCCGGAAGAGAGAATAACATCCCACATCGTCCGTCCACACAGTTATACAGATAATACCCCGTCTTGGTACCAACAAATACACTATCATCAACCCACAGTAAACTCACGATAATCCCATCAACAAGCCCTTGAATCTCTTTTTGAATCACGAAAGACCCATTCGGAATCAAATCCGCTATTACCAGCTTTTTCCCGATCCCAATCACGAAAAAATTGCTGCTATCAGTACTATTGCCATTACTATACACATAATTAGACTCCGTACCTCCGTCAGTGTGAATGCTGGAGCTCCATCTCTGGCTCCCAAGCTTACGAGATAGTGCAGTCACGCCTTTGAAGAGACCCATTCGTTTAGCTGGTCCAAGTAAACTCGAGTCAAGCAAATACAGATATCCACCGGCGAGGATGAGAACTTTCCCTAGGCCGGAAAGAGGGACGACTGGACTAGGTGAGCCGCCGCCGGGCACGGTGAGTCGTCTGACGAAGGCAATTTCGGGAGGGGCATTTCCGGGCACACGGATGGAATACAGTGACAGAACGCCGGAGAGAACGGCGATGTAGATTAGGTATTGGTCATCGGCTTGCTTTGATACGGCAACGGATTTGATCGGAGAGTTGCCGGAGTCGATGGCGGACTCGGCGAGGGGTTCGATAATCGCCCGAGACTTGGGTTTTACAGCCATCGGAAAAATTTGGGGGTTTTAGGGAAACGAGAGGAGATGAATTGTGGAGAAATGGTTATCGAATTTGCAGTGTGCAGGGTATCAACGACGCTGTTCGCCGGTGAAGAACTCGGCCGGCGATCACCGGATCAGCTTCTGGAATGCGCTTTCGACTGTCTCACCTGGAACTAAAGTCGCTACTATGAAGCGAGTTTATCTTCTTAATCTAAATATATATATATATATATATATATATATAATAAGAATTAACATTTTTAAAAGATAGTAAGAAAAAAAATAGAAAATATTAATTGCATTCCATTTTTGATATTTTTTTTATTTTTTAATAAAAAATCAAGTAGCATTAAATGCTAGTATAAATCATGGGATTTGTTATATAGATGCATATTTAAATTTCAAACTTCAAACAAAACATGCCTAAATATATTTTGAATTTTTTAGAGGAAAAATTTAACAAACACGTTTAAGATTGCATACAATACATTTATATATATTATCTTAACATATAGGTTAATTAGTTTCATATCTAAATAATATATATTTAAACAATATATAAACAAATATAATAATTTTTCGTCAATACAGACAAATATATAAGCAATATATTTATATACAAATATAATAAACAATACAAACAAATATACAAACAATATATAAACAAATATAGTAACTTGTCAGGTGTATATTTCGTACAATACATATATTTATATATATTATCTTAACATATAAGTTAATTAATTTCATATCTAAACAATATATATTTTAGGAACTTAAAGATTCATAACATTACTGACGTCATGTATCTTTATAATATATTGTTACGTACAATTTACTACAATTGGTAACTTTTTTAAAATTATTTGAATAATTGGAGGTTGATTTGTAATTTGAATTTCAAATTCATTCAAACATTTAAAGTAAAGTATCATAAGCAGATTTTTTCGATACATCATTTTATCTCAACTTACATATAATCACATTCCTACCAAACATTAAATTTGCTTATATCTTTTTAAATTAATTACATCAATAAATAATATGAATATACATTACATATTTATCATTATATAACAAATATATTACTTCTACAAGTGTTATAAATAATAATGACATTATATGATAATAGATTTTTTGATAGATTAATAATTGAGTATTATGATGAACCAAAATATATAAAATTATTATTATTTTGTATTAAAAAATGTATATGTTAAAATATTATTTATAATAATATAAACGGGTCAGCATGCTAATATATTGTGAAAATAAAGTTTAAAAACAAAAATTCTAAAGTACGGAAACCCCGTGCATCGCACAGGATTCTCACTAGTTTTATGGTCCTATAGAATGAATATTTATTTTTTGAGAATTTTTCAAAAGAACGATGGTAAAGACTAGCTCAAAACAATTGTATAAATAAATAATACATGGCACCACACATAACACTACACAAAAAAATAAAAAATAAATTACATTTATATTTATTTTTGTATTTATAATCAAATATGTTAAAAGAAATAATATGAAAACACAATGTTAAAACACGAAGATGAGTGGAAGATTTCAGATAAAAAAAAGTAGAAGCTATAAATCCTCAAATTCCCTTGCAGATAAGCAAAGCCTTCTTCTGGCGCATATAAGCAAAGCCTTCTTCTGGCGCCGCCTCGTCCTCGCAGGGCCTTCCGTGTTGGTGTTTGTGTTGTGTGTTTGTTGTTTTGTGGTTATTTTTCTTGTTTTAGCGGTTGATTCTCTTCTTGTAGGAGTTGTATTTTTCCTTTCCGAAAGTTGTTAGTTTTGTGTTTGGTGTTTGTCTCGTGGGTGCGTTAGTGTAGTCTCCTTAAGCTCATGATCGCGGGGCGTCTCATACTAGATTCTGCTATATGACTCCTTGACTAATTTAATTCTTATCTAGTTGTAATTATGTGTTTTTTGTTCTATATATTCTATCGTTTCGGAAAAAAAAAAAAAAAATAAAAAATAAAAAAATAAAATAAAAAAAAATGAGACAATAGCACAATTTATACTACTATTCAAATTTAAAAAAGTTGACATATGAAATAATAATTGTAGCACAATTATACAACTATTCAAATTTGAAAAAGCTAACATATGAAATCTATATATATATATATATAAAGAGTAGCAACAAAGCATTTAATTTTATTAACATGCATTAAATTTTATTCTCCCTCCAAAATTTTCAGCATTCAATTTCATTTTTAAGTTATAAAATAACTTGCTTGAATGCATAAATTATGAGCATAAACCAATCAAGGGAATTACAAAATTGTACTCAAATTTTAAGTCACACCCACTCATGAAAATAGCCGGGTGTATTAGTATAAAGAAAATGGTTGGAACGGCTCTTCCATAGCAATTACTTGATCAAAAACAGTTTTGAGAATTATTTTCTTAATTCATATTTTTTCATGAATTAATTTATGATTTATTTATTTATTTATTTATTTTTATATATTTTTATGTTTTGAAAGTATTCGTCTCTGTGCAAATGCACATGTTGATTACTTGTAATGCTAGTATGAAAGATGAGTGAACACCTTAAATATAAATTATATTAATTTGAGATTCGAAATATCTGAAACTATAAATTCAGGCAGAAAATTTAATTTTTTTTTTATTCGAAACGCAAAAAACTTGATTATCAATTTAAGATATTGAATGTAANATTTACCCCCATCAAAATCATGTTTCATTAAAAATTTTTAATCAAAATTCAAACACTACTTAATTCATCTGCATTTTATATCCAAACACTACTAAAAATTCAATTCAAATTTTCATTCAATCACTTTTTTGTTGTAAATTAACTCACTTTATCCTTAAAAAAAATAAAAAATTAATAGATAGTATATCAAAATTACAGAAGTTTACTTAATGTTTGCTTCTTTTTTATAGAGCACGGTTAACTTCTTTTTTTTTAAAGAATATCAATAGTTGTTTTCCACTTATTCCATGTATTACTTAATGTTTCCCACTTCTACTTATTTTTATTTTTTACTTTTAATTAGACCATGATCAATCAGTTGTCCAATAGCTTATTATCAATTTTTTTTTTCAACAATAAATAGAATAAACTTCTCCATTATTCAAGCAAGTCATCGCAAAAACTGTCCCAAAAAGGCCACAAGCTAACCACTCATCCTTACCAAGAGAACATAACCACATATTTAAGTTTTACGTCCGAAAACTTCTGAACTAACTCGGACAGCTAATCAGATCAAGATCTGGACTCTGGAGTCAAACTGTTCCAAATAAAGGCTTCGAAAGTAAGGGAGACACCACCAAATAATGTTTTAAATACGGAACATTACAGATGGTCTGGATAACCCTTTAAATATCATTTTAGCCAAAATATCGAATTATACGATTTCATACTAGAAAATACTGGCCAAAATATCGGTTAGTTGAATAGACATATAATACAAAAACCTAAATATAAAAACCCACAAAAGCCACAGACCACAGTATACTTGCACCAATTTAACATGAGCATCAAAACACATAGAACTTCAAATTATTAGAGAAACGGAAGTACAAGTACAGAACATGTATCACTTCAACAGCAGGTGCCGTTTCATTTTGCCTACAAAAAGCAAGTAATAAAAACAAGTCAAAACCCATATAGAAATTTAAACTGACGACTTATGGTCATAACGCACGCAATCCAATTAATAACGACTGGTAATGCGTATCGAGACAAATACAGGAAGAGTCTACTCTTGAAATCATCAAAATTTTCCCAAGAGAAATATCAATGCCGGTTGCAGACCAATAACAAATAAGTGATTCAACATGATCTCATCTTATGGTTCACCTGAGCCATCGTTAATGAAACATAAGCACAGACACAAATGCATTCATTGAAGTTTAGAACACAGCCGTAAGCATGAAAGAGCCCATAGCTAACGAGAACGCACCTCAAAGAAAATGTGTTATATCCTAAGAATTAACGTAGCAACAATGTTCTTTTGGACTTCTATTCCTCCGATTATTCCATTGTAAAAATCTTCTAATTCATAATGTCCAAAGAATCTATTAATCGACATAGAATCACTAAACTACACATTCACATTTAGCACTCTCTGTTTGCAGTCAATTCTAATTTGCTAAAGAGCTTTTAATTTAAGCAGTTCACTGTGTTCTCAATGCTTCTCAAGAAGCTCCTACACCGGGACCTCTTATACAAACACATGACATTTTCATTCTGAATATTATTTTGTTTCTTTTATTTGTATTTCTTTAATGTGTCCCCATTTATAATGTCAAAACAGAGCTAAATTTAGGCTTCCAAGAAATCTGGGAAATCCCCAGAAGTTATTTTTTTCTCAGAAATTTCAAAACTCCCAGAACATCTCCTCAAAAATTTTAGTAGGGTTAATTTATGCTGAAGAATATAACGCACGTCTTCACTCATTGTTCGCAAATGGCTAAAACATTCTCAGCCTAAGCCCTTAAATGATTATCAATCAAATGAGAAGTTAATGTATGTATCAATCCTTACAAGGCAACTACTAGCAGGGTAACAACTAGTTTTGGCATGTTGAAGGATATCATTAGTGCCGGTCTCTATTGTATGTTTCTTTCTTTCTTTGTTACTTGTACCCTCAAGCAAATGTAAATAAAAAAGATATGTGTGTGTGTGTGTTTACATTACATTCTTACTTCTTTCACACAATTGTTAGCAAAAACGACAATTTCAGAAATACAAGCACAAAGATCATGCCAGTGAACAACACGTAAAATCCTAACAATTCAAAGTAAATATTACTTCTGTGAAAAGCAGGAGTTTATTAACACACACACAGAGAATCAAATCCCATGTAGCGGTTTCATGCTTGCAGTAAATTGGCCAGTAAGGGAGATTAAACAAACTGTAATACCACTTTAAAGAGTGATGGAGTTCGGCACTTTCGTTGCCAATAGATAGAGAAATTCGGGCAGGTCAATCACAGAACCGACCGAGTAGATCGCTCCCAGTGAACGTCAACTAGACTGTAATTACTAATCCACATATGTTTGGACAAACATTTATGCATAATTGGTGAAAAAAATAATAACAAGCAAAAAAGTAATTACAACTAACAATTCACTGGGAAATTGGAATGGAAGGAAACAACACCAAAAGTAATAACTGGAATTAATAAAGCAAGTTACAACAACTAGAAACAGTCGGATAATATTAATATTGGATAAGTTGATTATTTGAGTATTTCATTCTCTAATACATGTCCATCATCAGTAACAATATGCATGCTAAGATTACGCTTGACCTTGTTTCTTCAAAATGAATTCATAAGTCACTCAATTCATTGTTTTCTAACCTTTATTGTTATAGTTTCCAACTCCAATTTCTCTCATTCACAAGATCCTTCAACATCATACGGGTTGGCAAAAAAGATACAAGATATTGAGATGGATGGCGCCAGGAAAGTGATAAATTAGAGAAGATTTATGGTAGGAGTATATACAAGCTCATCATCGGACATCAGAAAAGACTAGAGGAAAATGAGGACGACTACTATTTTCGGACCTCTGAGAGCAAGAGATGAAAATGAAGACGGCCATTATTTTTCGACCATCTCAACCACAAATGGCGGCATGTGCTTCTCACGTGAAAAACAATTGTGCTTGCAACATATAGAATCAAAAATCGAGGCGGAGTACCCCGTGGACATTATTGGGTCCTGTGATAGAATACTTTTACTGCAAGAGCAGTCGGATGAGCCGTACATGCTCTGCAGTCCCCTAACCGAAGAATTCAAGATCCTCCCGCCTGCTCAATGGAGACTCCGCCTACCTATTCCAGTGTTCACACACATGTCCCGAATGCGGCCGTTATGCACGTTTGCAAATTTGAAGGTTGTAAGGACAATTATCTTTATGAACGAAGATGAGGAAGACAATCTTGTGGATACAATTGAGCTTATTCTATGAAGAAAGATGCGGAGAGGCCCTTGATCCACTAAAATGGTGACTCCCAATATTTGCCATCGGTCGGTCTCAACGGGTCTCACTATTGTATCAGTTGCGGTAGCAGACTTGACGAAGGCATCCTGTGGTTCAACTTCAATGAAGCGTTTAACTTGTTACTCATGTCCGTCAGTACATCCCGAAGTGATGAAAGTTTTGCATCTTGCAAAAATTGATGGTTCACTAGACACTTTCTTTCCAATGGTTGGAGATAGAAAGAGGGTTCACGTGTGGGGTGGGATCGGGGGCTGTGGAGTGAAACTTGGAGCTTTGATGCGTGCGGGATCGACCGTTTGTTGAGTATCTGGACCAAGGACAAGTGTTTCCTTCGGGACGAATGGCGACTTGATTCTTTTTATTGCTGCTGTGGGAGAGTGGGGGCGGTTGATCTGGAGGGTTATTTTGAGAAAACTTGCTCACCAATAGCAAGTTCTCAAAATAACCATCCACCACAACCGCCCCTATTCTCCGATAGATGCATTAAAAAGAATGAAATCGTCATTCGTCCTTTCGAGAAAGCACTTGTCCTTGGCCCAGATACTCAACTCAACGGACGATCGACCCCAAACGCATCAAAGTTCTAAGCTTCACTCCACAACCCCGATCTCACACTCACACGTGAATCCTCTTTTTATCTACAACCACTGGGTGGGAAAGAGAAAACACCTAGTGAACCATCAATCTCTGCAATATGCAAAACTTTCATCGGATCGAGACAAATAGTGACGAGCATGGGTAACAAGTTAAACACTTAAGTTGAACTATAAGATGCCTTCGTTAAGTCGGCTACCGCAACTGATCCACTAGTGAGACGCCAAATACTGAGAGTCACCATTTTAGAAACGGTCAAGGTCTCCACGCATCTTCTTTCAAAGAATAGAGCTCAAATAACTTAGTTGTATCCACAAGATTGTCTTCCTCATCTTCGTTCATAAAGACAATTATCCTTACAATCTTCAGATCCCCAACGAGGTATAACACCCAAATCTGGGACACGTGTGTGAAGAACTGGAACAAGTAGGCAGGTCTCCATTGAGCAGGGCAGCAAGATAATGGATTCTTCGACTAGGGAATTCCAGAGCATGTACGCCGATCTGCTCTTGTAGTAGAAGTACCCCATCACAGGACTCAATAATGTCCACAGGGTACTCCGCCTTGATTTTTGCTTCTATATGTTGCAAGCACAATTTTTTTTCACGTGAAAAGCACAGGCACCATTTGGGGTGGAGATGGTCGAAAAATAATGGTCGTACTCATTTTCCTCTTTTGCTTTCAGAGGTCCGAAGAAGTTCCGAAAATAATAGTCGTCCTCATTTTCTCTCTACTTTTATGACGTCCGATGATGAGCTTGTTTATGCTCCTACCATAAATCTTCTCAGAGTTCGAACGGTTGTGATTTATCACTTTCCTGGCGCCATACATCTCGAGTGGGTTACTCACATGGCTGAACTTCGAAGATAAACATCGAACCGAGTTGGAGAAGATGCTCATATTTGGAAAGTGACGAGTGTTAGATGAAAAGTTGAGAAGACCCATGAATTGCTTATGACTATAATTACAAGGGAGAAGTGGGAACTCGAAAATGTGAAGACCCATGAAGTGCTTATGACTATAATTACAACGGAGAAGTGGGAACTCGGAAATGTTGGGACCTAATAGACTAAAATTAGCAAAGCTAAAAAAGACAATAAGAAACAAGTCCTAGGCACCATTT